GGAGATACGGAAGAAAGTGCGAAATAAGCCAGCTTTGTAGACCATTGGCTGAAAGCCGAGAGTTGGAGGTCGTTAGATGCTAAAGGAAACAGAAAGTGGGGTTGGATGTTAACAGAGAATATAATAGACAATTCGTATATAGGCTTAGTGCTATTTTTACGCTACAACGTATCTATATCTATAGGTATCGTCATATATTAAGGGGATTTATTACAGGTTTTTCGATGAAAAAAATATGTGATATTAAATATACTTTCTTTTTATGATCGCATTGAAAATTCGATTGCATTAATTGTAGTTAATCGATATTAATCACCATAAAAGTAGACAGATAAAAGAGAAACATTGACGAATGAAAACGTCTTAAGATTACTTAATTATAAATACAACTTGGGCAAATTGAAATAGAAATTGCAACAAAAGATAAGTTTTTTAACTAAAAGTTTTAAATTACAATTAAATTAAAAAGCAGTAATATCATAATATAATTAAACCATGAAATTAAGAAGAAAAATGATCGGTAAGCACTTATCAATAAAATTCAACACCATCATTTACTTATCGGGTAAGATTTTAGTCAACAAACACGATATCATATGTAACAATTTACCCGGTAAGCGCTAATCATGGTAAGAGTCATTGCCCTCACTTACCGGGTAAGACTCTCAATCCTTGTCTTGCTCTTACTGGGTAAGATTCTTGGTCTTTACCATATTCATCCGATAAGGTAATTTAATTTGATAATCGCTTATCCAGATAAGAATTTGATAAACGGCCCCTTATATTTCTTCTGTAAGCAAGTCATTCAAGTTAAGATTTACATGTTATCATTTTCAGGTTTTATTAGTTATATATATTTAATTTATCTAATTAATAATTAAACATATAAATAATTAATCATGAATAGCATTTGTTTGAAAAACGGTAAATAAAAAATAATGAGAAAAAGGATAATTGTCTTCATCATAATCCAATAGTGATAGGGATAAACATGTCCATTCATGATATTATAACAACCCCCTCCTCTCAAAAGCTTATGAATATATTACTTTTTTGTGGAGGTTGCTATCATGCCTATTTTTGGTCGGTCCTTTTGCTTATTCCAAAACTTTGCCCTTTCAATAAAAGACTATATTACCCTTCAAAGAAGCCAAGTTGGTTTCTTCCATAAGGTTACTTTGGTCATTTAAAAAAAATATATATTAATAGTTGTGCCTAACACAAACAAAAGGATGTAATATCAAGTTGATCAAAACGCAACGTCTAATTAATTTAGATACATAATTTAATAAAAATTATTTAATTATTTAACTTTGATATTATTTATCTGCATTATATTATAAAGTAAAATTCTTAAAAACTGATTTATATGCATGAAATACTGTTTATTGATGCATATTACTTAAAGTTTAAGATTACAGATAAATTGTGGATGAATACAACTTATTAAAGCTTCATTTTGAATTCGTGTAACTAACTGCGGATAAACATAATTAAATAAAGAATAAATATCTTATTTTAAATATAAAAAACTATAATATAATTAAGATAATCATCGAGTTCTAACAAAATACTTAATCATTATTGTTACAAAAAAATTATATTATTAAACTAAAAATAAAAAAATGAGTTAAAGAAATACACAAAAAATGAAAAAATAATAGTTAGTTTGGTGCCAATATCAATATATATTTTTTTAAATTTTTTATGGTATATTTAAGTTTAAATTTTATCTAAAAATAAAAACATTATTATGTTCTTAAAATTATATAAAACCGTATTATAACATCGACTGTGATAAAAAAACGAAATACTAAAATCAAGGATATATTTCGTTGCATTGTATAAATATCTTTATAATTTTAAATAATAAATGAAAAAATAAAGTTTGAGTATTAGGTTTTCTATCTTTCTTTTTTCTAATTTCTTCTAATATTATTATTTTTGGTTTATAATGGGATTGTGGTATAGTCAAATGTGTACGAAGGGCTTATCCAAATCGTGACTAATATTAATTTATATGTAACCAACTTTAACCGTTATCGTTTATATTAAGAAGTCGTTTGGTATAGAATAATTAAGTGATCAAAATGACTAAGAGATTCTTTAGATATAGTGCAAAAGGAAATATAATTGTTTGATAATTATTTACAACAAAATTAGGCCTTTAATGGTTAAGGGAGACTCATAATACAAAATCATTCAGATGATTTTAGCACCATTAAGAGACAAACTTTTTTTAGCCTAACAAGATTTATCTCTTAATGAAACTATTAAGAGATAAACAAACAACCCCTAAATTAAATTATAGCTAAAAAAGATAAAAATAAGGTCGTATGTATATAATTTCGAAGATAGTATAATGTTATATTTGTTTTACTTATTTAATTGTATTACTTTGTAAATTTATTTTGTATATGACGGTGAAAAAAATATAAATTCGATTGTTATTTACAAAAAAAGAAGACGAGATTTACAGAATAAGTAAATCAAAGACAAGAAAGTTAATATGAACGATCATACAACTTGTTTGGAGCAAACCGTCATGTTTTTAGAGGGTTCAAGATTTGTGCTCGCTTACTATTTTAGAGATTTGTTTTTGAAATCATTTGATTGTTGGGTTTTTGGTTTGTCCTATATTGACCAGATCCTAAATTTGTGGTTATCTTATATCACCTAAAATATATCTGCTATCAAAATGACTAACTGATAGCTAGATGGGTCTTGGTGTTGATTTTCACGGGGAGACATAAAAAATATGGGTTTTTTTTTATGTTCTAAATCGTTCAAATTCATTTTTGAAGCATCTTTCAATTAATTCAGGTTAGAGTATTTGGAACTTGAACAAGTTGTTGAATCATCTAGATAAACATATGATCTTACGCTACACATGACGAATTTCTATCAAAAGACGCTACAAAATGCAGGCCTTGGTCCACACATTGTTCTTCATCAAACTTGGTAGCAATAGTCAAGTTAGTGATTCAATTCTTATTCTCTTTTCGATTTTTTCTACATATATATATATATATATATATATATATGTATACACACATACACGTATGATACACACATCAATTTTGTACAAATTTTATTTAATTATATTGATTCTGAGCATCGTTTTTTACATATTTCTGTTGACTAACTCTTAGAATCTAACACTGCTTTTCACACCTACAAAATGGTTTTTTTTTTTATTAATCTTTTTGCCAAAAGGGAGGACGAGGAAGAACAGTTCTGCAAAACACGCAAAGGGAAAATAAAAATATCGTGATACGATAAAATGGGACGAGAAATTGGAATACAGATCACACATACATGGAAAAAACGGAGTCAATTTACTTTCCCACGTTACCAAAAATAAATTAAAAGAAAACACAAAAACACATGTCAAGACAGGTTATCGGTCATCTCCACGTCTCTTTTAAAAGAGTAAATTACATTTTCATCCCTCTAGTTTATAAATTTCGATTTTTGTCCATATATATATATATATTCGTCTTTGAACTAATTCTTACATTTTTGAGTACAAGATACCAAAACAGTAAATAATTATAAACCGTAAGGACTAAAAAATAACAATGATTTACAAACTATAAGAACAAAAAATACAATATCTAAACCACAAGGACTAAAATTGCAATCTTTCACAAAGCATAAGGACAAAAACGTAATTTACTCTTAAAAAAACAGTCGAACACGGCGAGGCGACTCGAACACAAAGTGAGAAAGGATCGAGTTTGATTGTGGGTCCCATGGCCACCAGCCACCACCTCATCCTCCGCCTTCTACCGCCGTCTCTCTTTCTCTCTCTGGAAATCTTTATTTGCTGTATATATGTATACAGCTGTTTCTATTAGAAAACGAATAATATATATATATATATATATATATATATATGTTATATATATTTAAAAAGATTTGTTATTTTAAAAAAAAACAAATAAAAATTCAGAATAAATTATACATCAAACCACCCCTCTTTTATTCTCTTTCTCCACCCCCAACAATTTCGCCCTAAAAAGCCTTTTGATTTGCAGATTTTAGAAAGAGGGGAGAGGGAGGGAAGGAAGGAGGGAGGGAGGAGAGATAGATATAGATATATATATATATATATATCATACATATATATATCTAAAAGCAAACTTATTTTTTCTTCTTTTATTTTAATTTAATTCTTTCTTCAAACGCCAAGAACAGAAGCTGCTCAATCTACACATACACACAGATAGATATGAAGAGAGAGGGATAGAAAAAGAAACCATTTTTTCAGACTAACTTATTTATGTAGAGAGAGAGAGAGAAAAAGAGATTTGGGGGCACAATTCTACACAAAGGGGGGGGCGCTTCTTTGTCTTTTCATCTTATCCAATCGGTAAGGTAAATACCCTTTTCTTTGATTACTGTAATCTCCACTCAAACAGATCTAATTTGATTTTATATTGAACAACCATCTGTTTTTAATTTTAGTTTTTCTAGGGTTTCTGAAACTGCTATTGGATTGGATTAATGGGTTTTTGCTATTTGATCTTGAGATTAGGAGATCTAGGATTTATTCTGTGTTCTTTAATTTCAATCTCTAGAGTTAGAAATTGAAGACTTGATTTTTATTATCTGTTGTCTGTCAGTTTCTAGATTTGAGGCAATCTATTAGGCGACTTTCTTGATTACTTATCTACCCAAAAGATTCAATTCGTTATCTTTACAGTACTTAATTTATGTAGATCTTCTAGATATGCGTTTATATATGAATCTTGATGACTGTTCTTTTCTTTAATTGAAGTAGAAAAACAGATTTTGAATAGGGATGTTGTTTCCTAGAGACATCAATTTCTAGATTATGAATAGGGTATGCCAGTGATTTTGATTATGTGTTTACTTTTATGGGATTTCAGTTGAAAATTCTTCTTGGTGAATTGGAGGAGAAGAATCTTGATTAAGGGGTTTTCAGGGGGTGGGGGCAAAAAGTTGTCTTTTTCCGGGTGCACATCGGGGGCGACATGTTGAAGGAGCGATCTTGTTTTGTTTCGAGGAGTTACAGTTGTGAAAGGGATAATAGTTGGAGTTATATGAGTAATTACAGGATAGAGAAACTAGAATCTCAGCAAGAAAAACGGCCTTTAGAAAATGATGGAGATGAAGAAGTTGCTCATGCTAGAAAAATCAGCAAGCAATCGAATGGTTTAGAAAATCTGGAACTTGGATTAGGATTGCTCGAGTTTTCCGTTCTCCCGACCGATCAATCGGATAACGAGAATCATGCTGGTGATGATTCAGATTCTAGTTCGCTCATTCCTGGTATTCATCGCGATAATTCCCGCACTTGTCTTATGAAATGCTCAAGATCCGACTATGGTTCTATTGCATCGTTAAACCGTAGCTTCCGTGAGCTTGTTAGAAGTGGGGAGCTTTATAGATTAAGGAGGACGAACGGCATAATCGAGCATTGGGTCTATTTTTCTTGCCATCTTGTGGAATGGGAAGCTTTTGATCCGATCAACCAGCATTGGATGCACCTACCCACGATGACTTCCAACCCGTGTTTCCAGTTTTCGGATAAGGAATCTTTAGCCGTTGGAACCGAGCTACTCGTTCTCGGGAAAGAGGTTCCTGATCACGTAATCTATAAATACAGTTTATTGACAAACTCATGGTCATTAGGGCGGCAGATGAATTCGCCCAGATGCTTATTTGGTTCAGCCAGTCTTGGGGAGAAGGCGATTGTTGCTGGCGGCTGTGATCCACACGGAAGGATTGTGAATTCAGCAGAGCTGTATAACAGCGAGTTGGGAACGTGGGAAACACTTCCGAACATGATTAAACCGAGAAAAATGTGTTCTGGGGTGTTTATGGACGATAAATTCTATGTAATTGGTGGGATTGGAGGGATGGAAATGAATCCGTTAGCATGTGGTGAAGAATATGATTTACGTACGAGAGAATGGAAAGAGATCCCGAATATGTCTCCTCTACGAACTGGTGGTGCCGCCAATGAGGCGGCGGCAGCTCCTAGAACCGAGGCACCACCGCTAGTTGCAGTTGTAGATAACGAATTGTATGCTGCTGATTGTGCAGATATGGAGGTCAGGAAGTATGACAAGCATCGGAAAGAATGGGAGACTGTAGGAAGATTGCCAGAAAGGGCGGATTCTATGAACGGATGGGGGATCGCGTTTAGGGGTTGCGGAGACCGTGTTATTGTTATCGGCGGCCCTAGAACTAGTGGTGCCGGGTTTATAGAAGTTAACTCGTGGGTCCCTAGAGAAGGTCCGCCACGCTGGAATATGCTTGGCCGGAAACAATCCAATAACTTTGTCTACAATTGCGCGGTGATGGGCTGCTGAAAACGCTAAAAGGTTGGTCTTTTTTCGTGGCGATTTCATCTTCCCGACAAAAAATTTTCTCGTTTTACTTGAGATTTAACGATTGCACACGAGTCTTGAGTACGTTTTTTTTAGAGCTTTCGATCTTTTCTTTAATTAGTGTCTACCCTCACTTTGAAGTGACACGCGATCGCACCTATTCGTACCCGTTTGGTGGTCTAATAACTTGAAGTGATAGATTGGTAGATAGCTTCTTCTTTTTTTTTTCTCAAAAAAGAAAAAAACGATCAAAAGAGTTTGATATATGGTTTTTATGATCTTTAATTTCTTGACATTCCCCAAGAGAAAAATAAGCTTGCATGCTTGATCTAATGGAACATATACCTTGTACTAAATTCACATTTTGTTGCAATTCATAGGCTTCTCATTCAGCCTTTCTTGGTCTTCGTTTTCCTGTTGCCATCGTTAGAAATTGTATGTTTACGATGATATATCAATTGTTTAGAAATGGAAAACCGGAACTGGGATTCAAGAAAATTAAACCCTTCTGGAATCTTTGATGATCTTTATCGTTGTTATCTTGCTTCAAAAGCTATGGTTTGGGTTCTTAGCAGCCTGTTTTCGTGATACCACCAGATAACATCGAATGGTAAAACACTGTGAAGGTACAAAAAACAGCGAACCTTAAGGTTTACCTTCACAGACTGTTGTTGTGAAGGTTCAGTCATTTAAATGGTCTCATGAAAACATGTTGGTCTCGTATACTTACTTATGGTGATAATGTGATATAGTTTGCCCATTTCTATGGTACCCTGCAAACTTGTATGGATTTTATGGCTTGATATTTTGTAATTTCCATGTGTTTCTGAACATATCTTATGTGTTGGTGATGCTTTTTGACTGGGAGAAGCTATGTACATCTTATCCTCCCCGGAGCGTACCTTTCTGTGAGATATACTGGGTTCGTTTGGTTTTATGGGTTTTTTAACACGCCCCCTCCAACTGAAGCTAGGTTGTCATAGATTGTAGTATAATGTCAAGAGGGGGCTAGAAAAGTATAATTGCCCTCAAATTGGCGAAGTCTTTAGAGTGGTAGATCTTGACTTTGATACCATGTAAGAATGTATGAAGCTCGTTAAATTACTTTCGGAAAGAGTCGAGTCTAGCGATGTGAGACTAATAGATTTGGTACCGGCTAGATAGATTGGTTTCATACCCGATCTAGGGATCGGTTTTATAAAATTAAGGGTTGGTAATTCGTAAATCTAACTGCTTGGCTGATGATCCTTTATATTTGTGGCAAAGATCTTGGGTTACAATCTTAGCAAAGACTTGAGATCATGTGAGATTAGGTTATTTTCATGAGAATTATGAGACCGGATATAAATAACACTAAAACATTCACAGTAATACACTGAGAAGGTAAACTTTCACAAAGTTTTTACTATGAAAGTTCGGTTTTTTGTACCTTTACAATGTTTTGTTGTGAAGTTTCAATGTTATTTTGTGGTCCCAGGGGTCTAAAGAAAATAGAGTGGTCTCTTGTGAACCTAATCTTAGCCAAGGCGAGAGATCGTGTGAGAAGATGAGTTAAAGTGAGAAGCGTAAGAAGAAATCTGGACTCTTAATCAACTTTAATCTCAAATTCATCCATGATAAAATATTGATTTGATACATTTTGGTACATCTTATTCTAATATGCATTGAATATTTTTTTTCCGCTTCCTACCGTAACCCAACCTTTTTAGCCGAAGACCATGGCTGAAGTGGGTTTTATTCCAAGGCCAAGCAAGGAAACGATGTCCTTTTTTCTACAATAAAATTTCAAGAAAATTACAATTTTGGTCCATCTGATTGACATTTTTGCCTCTTTCCGTTCCTATTTTACAATAATTACAGATTTGGTCATATTGGTATGTATTTTTGGACAATTTGGATCCTTCTCTCAAACACTATCTGCAGTAATTTGGAGATCCGTCCTAATCAGCATTTACAATTCATTTAGTAGAAAATATAGTTAAATGTTTAAATTCACATATTTTATATATCAAAAGTTTAGAAGTGTTTTTTAAAATGAACAAATTGCATGAAAAAATAACCTATAGTAACTTGTCTTATTTTGGATAACGTACTTTCAAAACTTTCATTTTGATACATTCGATGTGAATTTTTAAACATTTAAGTACCCAAATTGCAGGTTAAAGATTAATGTTAGGTAAAAAAAAGGACTAAATTTTAGATTAAAAAAAATCCAAGTCATCAACCACTTCAAGAAATAATATTGAGTTGGGTACTAAAATGTTTAAAACTTAAGATATTATATACCAAATAGAAGTTTTAAAAATACGTTATCCAAAATATATATCAAGTTAAAGTATATTATTTTTTTCAAACAATTTATCCTTTTGAAATTAAATACTTCCTTTTCGTAATAATCTAAAAAAAAGAGAGATCAGACATAAAACTGATGGTGTACTATAAAATTTTAAAATTATACAAAATAAGTTCTATATAACATACAATTCCTGTTAGACCATGAACCACCGTAATCAAAACTTCTAAAACCCATTAGACCACGACTCTTATTTGGATGTAATTTGAGAACAAAATATCAAAAAGAAACTGGTTCGAACCAGTCGAATAAAAACAGCGACATCATGGTCAATTTCAGCCTGATGAAATAACGGTCTTAATTCGTTACCGGGTAACACTAAGGTGGGTGAAAAATAAGCGAAATTTGCAATTTTCTAACAGACAGAATTTGAAAAATCCTAAAACCCATAATCCATTACAAAATCCTCAGAGCAGTAAATGAAGCAACAAATACCATCTTAAAAACCAGTCTAAAGGAAACCAGGACAAAACATTCACCTATAAGGGCAAAACATAGATTTATAAGAAGTAGCTAAATGCTCATTCTTCATCATCCTCATCGGCATCCCCACCAGCAGCCTTCTTCGCAGCTGCCTTCTGGTTCTTTCGCTTCACTCTTCCAGGTCGACCACCTCCAAACGGACTTGTGAGCGAGAAGTCAATGTGTTTCTGGGAGTCCACTCTCACCATGAACGATGGAACGTTCACCACTTGCCTTCCAACTCTGAAATTGCAATCACAATCAACCAAAAACCCAATCTTTATGCATAAAGATGAATCTTGATTGGTGTTTCAATGAAACTAGATATGCAATCATATGTTTATAGCAATTGACTTTACTCTCTAGGGTGGAAGTCAGGTTTCTATTTCTTCACATCTCACCCACACAGACCCCCCCCCCTTTCAAATGGGATATATACTGCTTGATTGGTTTTCCATTGCTTCCCCTATACATAAAGTTGGCTGTGTGGATTAACATGTATGTATAGATTGGAAAAGTTTTTTGTTGGGGAGAGTTTTTCCAACATATAGAAAGAGCATGTTTTTAGTTGGCAAGGACAGGTTTAAAAAAACTTGGCCTTCTGTGAAAAGCTTCCTCTTAGAAGCTTACTGAATAGGATACTTTCTATATCATTAAGCCACTACCAACCAGTTATGTATAGCTGAACAAATAAGCTGCAAGTCTCATTAAGCCACTACCAAACAGTTATGTATAGCCGAACAAATAAGCTGCAAGTCTCATTAAGCTGCTATAAAACAGGACCTTAAAATGAGGTAATCCACAGTTTAAATCATATCAAATGTGACTGAGTGTTTACCTGATATGCCTCTGTTTAATGAGGACTCTGGCATGGTGGATGGATTTTGCCATTCCAGTCTTGAAGACGAGTGTCTGAAGGCGGCGCTCAAGGAAGTTCTCCACAGTGAGGGCCAACACATAATCAAGCTTGTTTTGGCTCTCATCCAACAGACCATATCTGTTCATCCTCCTCATAAGGGCCTCACCCTCAAAAATCCTGCGTGGGTCTTTCTCCTCAAGGGTCAAAAGCATTCTTGCTGCATTACGGATTCGACTGAGAGCATACTGCACCCTCCAGAGCTCCCTTTTGCATCTAAGACCATACTCCCCAACAAGCTTCAATTCAGCATCCAGTCGTTCCTTTTCATAAGGACGACGGGGCTTCTTGAAGGTCTTTCCATCTAATAGTCATTTTTTGGTATCAGGTTATAATCAGCTTTTGAATTTTACATATCAAATATGAAACCAAACCACAAAATCAAGAATTCAACATGTATTAGCTTAGCAAACAAGAATTTCCTGCCAAAGTGCCAAATCATGTACTATCCACGAGTCAAACCCTATTTCTACTTGATCATCAATGCTTGATCACAAAAACTTTGACCTAGAAAATAAACAAATCCAACAATGATGCGCGATGACAGAAATGAGCAAGCATTTAGCATTTCTTTAGCAGCAAACTGATAGTAAGAATAATATGGACAAGTAACAACAATAACCATGATTATAAATGATTAAGCATACATTGAACACCTTCACATGAATGAAATACTAGATTCAAACTTTATTTGTAAGTACCAAGACACCTGCGAAGATCTAAACCCGTTCATTTCTTATAAAACAACTATTTTGGTCAAATCCGTAGCCTAGAAATGTAAAAACTAGTTTGATTTGACAAGGAAATTAACCTAATAGAAGTGGTTACCTTTTACATTTACACAAGTAAATTAGTTGTTCGAAAACAGAACACAATTCTCATAATAATCAGAACCTTGAGATTACAAAATTTTCCGATCTAATCCATATAGCTGGTGCAGTGAGTAACACAAACATGGGATGACGAAAAATACCAGGAAATGTTCAGATTCGTTAGACCTAAAATCGTTCAAGATCAGGCTTGAACACGTAATAGGATACATAAATAACTGATCGATTGATCAAAGAGTAAGAAGAATTACAGTTGCGGTAGAAGTTGACGTGAACCATGGTTGTTTGACGTCAACACGGCGCTTGCTATGTTCCTCCTTCCACCGGCGGCAACTGCAGCTGCTTCAAGGGTTTGGCGGAGGGGGTATCGTATTAGGGTTTTAACCTGCGTCTTCATGGGCCGGATTCCAGTTGGACCTTTCCCTAATGGGCCTTATTAGCATTTATGACATCATTCCCCTTCCAAATGCCCTTTTTTTATTTATCATTCATTCTATTTTATGGTTTTTAAATTAAGGTTATAAATAAAAAATTATTAATTTTTTTTATTTTAAATAATTAAATTTCTTAATTATTTTTTAATTAAAAAAAACATTTAAGACCTTGAATTTTTTAAGTAAATAAATAAACTATTGAATTTTTACTAGTGAGTTGATATAACTTTTTTTTATAAAAGAATGTAAGTAACCAATTTTAAGAGTATAATAGTTTATTTAAGAAAAAATATTCAGAGACTTAATCAATCAAAATGAGAAAATTTAATGGTTTAAGGTTTTCCATTTAAAAAAAGAAAGTTTACTGATTTTTTACAAAAACATAGTTCAAAGACTTATCATTCTAATTAAGAAGGTTTAATGGTTTTTTCATTAAAAAATATAGTTCAGATTCTTAATCATTCAAAATGAGAAAGTTTAATAGTTTTTAATTCAAAAAAAATAATTCAAAAATTTAATTATTCAAAATAGATTTTTTTTACTTTTCTCTACCAAAACGTAATAAGCTGATAAATATTTTTTTCCATCAAGAACATTAGAAACTCATCATCACCGGTTCCACACCAAAATAAGTTAATAAGTTAGAAGAGAGTAACTTATCATAAACTCATTATTATCGGTGTCAAACCAATATAAGTATTTTTTTTCTTATCCGAACACTAAAAACTTTTTGTTATTAATATCATACCGGAATAAGTTAATAATCATTTTAAACAAGCAACCCCAAACCCCTCTAAATCAACAAATTAATAGAGTTTTAAATATTATATGTAATGATTAATTATTTGATTTTTAAAATTTTAAAGCATGGCTCACACCATGGATCGACGCAATGTGTGATTTTTACAATACGTGACTTTTTTATAATCTTATTTTTCAGATTTTAAATGTTTTTGAACTTTCGTGTTTTCACGATTACATGCACGTCATAAACTCATGATTAAAATGAAATTGTAAAACTATTTTTCTAAGTTTTGAATTATTTGATTAAAAATTATTTTTATAATAATAATTTCTACGTTTTTTTTTTCAATTTTTTAATATCATTATCTAATCGAATAGCATATAGAATACATATATGTGTATATATAATTCTATAAATGCCATCATTATCATCGCTCACTTACCAGGTAAGACTCTCCATCTTTATCATTGCTCTTACCTGGTAAGATTCTTGCCCCTTGTCATGTTCATTCGGTGAAAAAAATTTGCTCAGTAAGTACTTACCGGATAAACATTTAATAAACGGCCCCTTAAGGTTTGACCTTGCAATTTAGAGTTTTTTTTTAATAATAAAATTTAATCATTATTTTATTTAGTAATATGGATGGTTTAACAATAATGCAATGAAGAGGTTTTTCATGGGCCAGACAAAATCAAGCCCAATTAAGGCTCAAATATAATAAAGCCCATTTCTGGAATACCGTCATTCGGACTCTCTGGCTCTCAGTCTCTCACTTCCCATTTCCACAAACAAAATGAACAAATTTCGCAGCCTTTCCTTTCTAATCAACCGCCGGTCTACCAATTGCTCCACCACCACAGCCCATCTCCCACGGCTATCAACCAAGGCCACCGGCGGCCGAGACGAATGGAACGATGCGTGGGAAACAGCGTGGCTCCCTGAAGAAGTATCGGCGAAAAATCGGGCACCATGGGAAGCAGACGTTAATTTCTCCATCTCCGATGTGGATCCGGATACGAAGGCGTTCGTGGAAGATATGACTGAAAATTGGGAGCAGAGAAGGAAAAGGGGCGGGAATAAGAGCAATAGAGAGGAGGAAGAAGAACGGCTGATGAAGTTGAAAGAAGAAGGGAAATCGTTGTGTAGTTTGGAGAATGTGAAGAGGGATTATAGGGTTAAGAAACAAAGGGTTCATGCTGGTTTATGGGTGAAAGAGATTGAGAAGATGGAGGAGGCTAAATTGGGTGATTCTGGTGCTGATCTTGACAGATTTCTCGACACTGCTTCTGAGTACTCTCTCTCTCTCTCTCTATATATATATATTTATATATAATTTAACACTGTATATACATGGTTCTGAAATCTGCTTACATCCATAGATGGTGCTAGAATTTTATTATTTCTAAGTGAATCTAGATACATTATAGACAAATGCTAGTATCATCAAGTAAGAAAACAAAAGTGACTAATGTAACGTGAACTGGCTCTTGGTTTCAATAAGTAGAACATCCCTTAGGGTCTGATTGTTAGCAACTTAACGAGACTCACAACTTATTCGGTTTGCTATACATGACTATTTGATAGTGGCTTAATGATATAGAAAGTGGCGTTTTCAGTAAGCTTCTAGGAGGAAACTTTATGCAGAAATCTGCTCCTCCCAATTGAAAAACACGCTCCTTCCATTTAGAAACCTCCCAATCCGTGTATTACTGATTAATCCATACAAACAGCTTTATTCATACGGGATGTAATGCAAAACCAACCAAACGGCCCCTTACTTGTATTATTATATAAAGATTTCAAGTTTGACCAAACATATAGTTGCATATGTTTTCAGGAATGTAATGCATAGAACATCTTTGAATAATGATGGAACTTGTGAACAAAAGCAATATAAGAGCTACTTAAAGACTCCATCTTTTAGTTGTTACACCATTTATCATATTATATATTAGGCAAGAGCATCTGTTTTTTTACCTCTTACTAAACCTTTCTTGCGAGCGGGCTTTCTTCTTGGAAACAGTCTCTTTATCCTAGACCCTACTGGGATATACTGAGTTTGTTTGGTTTAGCTATTCTCTTTCCAATCAGATAATTGTAACTTGTAAATGTTTCAAACATATAAATGGTCTGTGTTTCATGAAACATCCCCAAATGAAAAGTATTGGAATTTGGTTCCGTCTGTTATCAAAACTGCGACTGTCCAGCTCATTATATTGCTTTGACCACTTCCACTAGTTCATTGTTCAAAATACCTTTGAATACTGACCAAAAGGTGGAATCTTGGGCATCAATAATTTGTTATGATGATAATGGGAAAGTATGCAACTTTGGTCTGAAAACTTGTCTTCCATGTGACATATCCTAAAATGAACTGTTGCAGTTTTCTTGAAACAAAGACTGTAGAAAGGTTCTGTTTTGAGTTTGAGAAAACCAGGATTGACATTTAAAAGTCCAACAACTAGTTATTATGGGTAACATCCCAGGCTAACCGTACTAGATATTGTTTGTTTTGTTCACACACCTGGACTCAAGGTTTTGAAACGTGTCTAATAGACCTTGGCAGTCCAGCATCGTCGCTGGCACACCAGTTTGGATACCATCTGTAACATCCAGGCTAACCATACCAGATATTGTTTGCTTTGTCTACACACCTGGACTCACGGTTTTCAAACGCGTCTAATAGAGGAGGTATCTGATTTCGTGTAAGATAACCTTAGTTTCCCTTCCCCAACCGATGTGGGATCTTACATTATGCCATTTTGGATTGCTGGTCTGTTAGTTTGTAGTCAAGAATAGATAACCAAACATGAATTGATCTTTTTTCATTTTCTTCAAAACATTTAATTGCAGGATTTTTGACTCGGGAAGCAGTGATTCGAAAAAACTAACAGATTCTTCAGATTTGAAAAATAAGCCAGATGGGTGGGAAACAACATCCAAGTCTCAAGATGGGAACATCTGGGAGATGTCCCAAAGAGAAGAAGACATTCTTCTTCAAGAATATGAACGCCGAATTGCTTTCAGCAAATTCCAGGTTTTTGTTCTTGTGTTCCAACTCTTTATTCATCATAATTGTCATTCAAGAAAGTTGTTTAATTTGTTATATATATATATATATATACTAGTTGTGTACCCGCGCAATGTGGCGAGAGCCATGAATTTTATCGATTTTGAAGTTCCACTGGTTTTATAAGATAAGATTTAACGATGATATTGGTTACACTTGGTCTTCACATATTAATACAATTTGAATAAATAAGAGTTATGGTTCCAATTACAGACTATCGATGAAAAAAATTGTATGACAGTTTAAAATCCAACATATTTAAAATCCAATATATTTAAACGACTCCACAAATGTGTTCGATTTACACCAAGAGCAGAGAACCAAGAAACTTGAGTTTTAAGATAAACACTCAAAACCAATAAAGAAAACTACAAATTTAACAGATCATAAGCCATGAAAAGACAAAAAAAGATGAGTTTTAAAATGAAATTTCAACTGTTTACCCTTATTCTTGTCCAAAAACTCAGATTAAGGTTGAATTAATACATGTATATATATATATATATATATTTCAAAAAAACCCAAGAACATATTAATTCAGAACATATTATATAGTGTACTTTGGACAGCCTAATCCCAAAATATATAGTATATATATATATATATAAATAAATAACTATAAAAGTATAAATCGTAAATATTAAAAATATTTTTTCACAGTATATATAATATATAATAATATAATTAAGTAAAAAACTATTCAATATTGGACTCATTTCGAAGGTATTAAAGAGACGATTATAATGGTGTAACTTGTTAAAATAAAAATGTATTTTTTAAACATATTTTAATTGATATACGATTATGTATATTAATTCGATAAAGGTTTAAAATGAAACATTTAAAAGTAAATGACGTAAAGTAAATTAATTAACTACTTATAGGGGTATAAAGTGTAAATTTAAAAATATAATTTTAAAAAATCCGTTGTGAGAGGGTGAGTGTATGTGAGGGGGTGAGTACATGTGAGGAAAGGAGGGGTGAAAAAGTGTATAAATGGTATCTTGGTCATTTAGTATTTTAATACTTTAAGACTTTATAAGATAGTATATATATATATATATATATATATATATATATATATAGGGTTAGGGAAAACCGCAAAAAAATGAAAAACTGAGGAATACCCTGTTTAACCATTCATTTGGACGGTACAAGTAATTTGTAAACAATTTATCCGGTATATGCACATGTGCATGAATGGTTACCGGAGTGTTTCTCAGTTTTTCATTTAAGGGTTTTCCCCCGACCCTCCCCCCCTCTCTCTCTCTCTCTATATATATATATATGTTTGAAATTGTTTTGTTTGGTTATGCAGATAGCTAGCTTTATAAAACAACACATATTTAGTCGAAGGAGACCGATCGATGGATGGAAGTACATGATTGAAGAATTGGGACCGAATGCAAGAAGAGGTAAGGGAAGTGTTTCAAGATTACCTAGTCTTGCTGATCCCGCCACTCAACCATTTAAGGAGGAGAAGATCCCGATTGCCACCACTCTTCCGACCAAGGGACGATAGGGTTCGCGGTGGTTGAGGGCGGCATAAGGTGGTAGAGAATGGTGGTTGGTTATGTGTGTATATACATATATACATATTCTATAATAGTAGTCTCTATTCTCATACTAGTGGGATTCTCATGTCCCTTGCTCTCAAAATGATACAATCCATCTCAAATGTCTGCTCCTACTTCTCTTGCTTCGAACTTTTTATAGATCTTCCTCTTCTTAGAAAATGGTGTGTGCATTTATATATACATAATATATATATAGTCTATAGACTATCAACATTAACCTTGGTCGATCGTTTTTGTATAAGAAAATGTTTCGTGTTATAACTTTTTAGAATGTGTTTGGTATACCGGACAGAATAGAGTGTGGATCATTGTTTTATTTTTTGGCAAAAAACAAAGTGGAACAAATTGGAACAGTTCCACCTACACCTTTGGAACAAGGTGGAATGAACTTATATTTTATCAATATAACATCAAGATAAAACATATTTCTCTTTTAACATATCAAATATGCCTTCTTCTTTATATTTTATTTATTCTTTAAATTTTTTATTGTATTTTATTTTTTTAAACTTTTAAATTATTGTCCTTAAAATATTATTGTTATATGAGAGTTATATTTTGGTTAATTTATGTAATTCATTAAACATTTAATAATAATAAAATAATATAAGATGAGAATCAGAAACTACATGAACTTTTTATTTTGATGTTAGTTTAATGATCTTAGTAAGAACTCTCTAATTAATAATATATATTGTCATAGAAAATATTTATTTTACTATAATTTGATAAATTACATAAATTAATAGATATGTGATCAAGTGAGGCTAAAGTAATTTCATGAGACCATATAAATAACACATAACTTTCACAGTGTTTTTTCTATGAAGTTTTGGTGTCTTTCGTAGCTTTACAGTGTTTTGATGTGAAGTTTCAGTATTATTTTATAATCTGACGGATGTCATGAAAACATATTGATCTCACAAGAAAACAACCCGAAATGAATACATAAAAGATTTAAACAACTCATTAGTATAAATTGATTATTTTACCTGTTATTTGTTTATATATATCGTCATTTACTATCTATAAAGAATGAGGTTGGAACCCAAGATACAGAAACAGGTACAAAACCACTTTCACTGAACACCTCTGGACTATTAATTAATTCAAGTATCATTAATGACGGATCAATTAATTGGCTAGTTATGACTTATGCGTCGATTTCCCGCATCATATATATATATATATATATATATTAGAAGCGTATTCGTGCAATACAGCGAAATACATCGTGAATTTAATATTTTATTTTATTATTTATCCTAGCTGATATTATAATATGACTTTATGTGATTTTGAGAAAATCGATGATGTTTTTATTTTTTAATAAAATATATGTTTGAAGATATCATAAAATTTTGACAAAAATATATCGATATTAGTATCATATTAACTATTTGAAATTCCTCATTTTTTTGTGTAATTTTTAATTCAAATTTTTATAATTTAATTTATGTACAATAACGAAGTAATTTATATTTGGTTTAATAATATAATTTTTTTATAAAGATAATAATTATTTATTTTGTTGGAACTCGATAATTATTCTAATTATATTTTAGATTTTTTATATTTTAAAATGAGATGTTCATTCTCTATTTGATTATGTTTATCCGCAGTTATTTATACGAATTCAAACATCGAGCTTTAATAAGTTGTACCTATGCATAATTACTTGTAATCTTGAATTTTAAGTTGTACTTATAAGAATAAATATGAATTAAACATATAACATGCAAATTTAACAAATGATTGCTTGAGCACTTAAATAGAATCTTGTGATGTGGTGAAATCTTAATGAAAGATACGTAAGTTAAACAATTGATAAAAATATTTAAATTCTATCTTTCTTCTTTTTTTGCTAATTTAAAATAAGATGTTAAGATTAAAGTTAATGGAACATGATATACATAAGAGACATTACTAAATATATATATCTAGTAGAAAAAATTTATTGATTAATCGTAAAACCATGAAACACATTATAAATTATAAGAACAATAGATTGATTGTCAAACAATAGTAAAATATTTTATGTAGAAGCAAAAATAGATAACAATAGTCACAAAAAACAATTAGAACAACATAACCAAATAGCAATAGCTAATAAAAGCAGAAATTAATAAAAATATCCAACAAAAAATATATAGCAATAACAAACACATGATCTTAATGTTGAATTGTTGAAGCACGAAAACAATCAAGCATATAGATATAGCAATAGCCAATATCATTGAATCTTGTTGGAGATAAAAAATAGAGATTCAATAAACAATAACATATAATAAATGATGAATTAGTTTTTATTTTATTTCCTTCTCCAATGTAATTAGTTGATGTATTTTTGGGCCCTTCTTATCTACTAAATTATATTTGTCTTTTATTATATTCTACAAATTTTTGGGTTTCTTTAATCTATTAAATTCTTTTAGACTACTATTGCATTTTAAGAGAAAAAATTTGGGCCCTTGATATTTTTTGGCCCTGGGCGTGCGCCCGTATCACCCTCCCCTCGGGACGACCCTGTTAATAGGTAATTTCGGTTCCGTTCAAAAACAAAAAGTTAGGACGAGGAGCGTAAGAACAAACTTCCACACTTGAATCAATTATAATTGAATATCAACATTAATGAGGTGCACCAAGATGCACCAGATAGTTCCCTTCTAAAACACGATTAATGGGTAGGCATGTGATTAGAAGTGATAAAGGGTTCATATCTCTTCTTACCCTTCTCACACGATACTTCGTCTTATAATATATATATATATATATATAATATATATATATATATATATGAGAAAGAAAAGATATATTGATATATATTTCAGCTTTCTGTTGTTTAGTCTTATATCATGCCAAAACAAAACAGCTAGCTTTGTCACCAGCTCTCCATCATAACACCAACACTTGAAATAATTAAAGCTACAATACAAAATATATAGCCCAATAAACAATTTTGAAATAATTATATCAAATTTAAATGTAAAAGATGTTCATATTTACGTTTTTTCTATATAAAATCGTTCAAAAAAGTCCCTTCTGTAACGATAATAAGTTCAAATTAATGGTTCTATAACACTTACGTTTATAAGATCAAATAATCGTGTTTTATGTAAAAACGTTGCAACAAGTTTATAAAACGTATTTGATCATCTTAACAAGTTTTTAAAACGATTTTAAAATAAAATCGCTCATTGTGAAATCAAGTGTATAATAAAAAGATGTGTTCATGACAATTTAAAAAATGTCTTGTAAAATAACTAATATGATAATTTATCTTAAAAGTGTACTAAAATATTTGTTTAACACTCAAAGACGGCGTCTTATAAACTTATTGCAACAATTTGACATAAAACACACAATTATTTAATTATATAAATGTAATTTTTATAACATTTTTTTATCTCCTATAAATGCAGTGAGGGTTTGGTTTCAGATTGGAACGATAGCATTAATCATGTGTAAGATCATTAAGTGGAATACCGTTTTGATGTAAAAGAAAGATCTTATAGAGCTGTCTTTATCATACCTTACAAAATATCCATAATTTTGAAAAAAACACATACACACACACACACACACACACACACACACATATATATATATATATATATATATATATAAAAGAGATATGAATGGGAGAGTATTAAATTCCATACAGATATGATATTGCTATCCAATGCCATTATTAAAACCCCATCTGTACAATCCTAATGATGGAAGGAACAGCAATCCACACACCAAGTGTTATATATACACAAATATATATATATATATATATATATATATACATCTATATGTAATGTGCTATCAGTATCATCACAGCTAGCAAAGCAAGAGCTTTTAAATCCTAACATTGTATGGAAGCTTATATATGTGTATATATTATAAGCATCTTTTAAAAAAGCCCTGCTTTTATTGGGGGAATCATGATGATCCAACAACAAAAGGGAGAAGCATTAGGTTTTCCTTTTACATACACTCATACACACACACACATATATATATACATATATCAAGAAAAATATAAAGAAATGTAATGGAACATAATTAAAACAAACATTGGTAACCGTGTTCGAGTAGATTGAATTTCAAATGTCCGTTTGTCGACGTTGTCTTAAAAAAACCTTTATCCGCGAGTGAATTAATCTCAACTAAGTGGTTTAAATTCGATATTTTTCTATGATGTTAAAATGATTCAAACAAAATAACGCAATCGAACCAATCAAAAACACAAAAAGATGTATGTTTTTTCCTTCTATGTTGTTTCTTTCTGTTAATTCCGTGTCTCATCAGATATTTTTCAAAATATAAACAGGATAAAGAAAAAAGAACTTCATTTACAAATAACAACATGTAATGTGAGTTGTGTGTTAGATGCATTAGAGTAGTGTGTGTAATTAACCACAAAAGTAGCAATGTGTGGTAGGGCCAAAGATCAGGCACTAGCAATAACACTTTCACCAAGCAGCAGCCAACTTATATATGATAAAAGGAGATATATATATATATATATATATATATATATATATATATTAACTTGAGACAAAAAGTTGAAGCCAAAGCATGCCTATGTGCACATGAATGGGTTCAGAATGCAGTTAATTAAAATTATGTCTTAATTTGGAAAGGAGGGATTCAAGTACCAATTCCTCAAGATCTTGTAAACATCCATATTTCAATTAAGTTTTTAAGCCATTGTGATCATAAAGGTTCAGGATTCGAATCTATATACATATATATATATATACCGTGGTCGACCAATTATCAATAATAAATTGATCAAGAGATAGTTGGTAGAAAGTTTTTACAGTCTTTCAAGAAAATCGTGAGAAAATATTGATGTACGTAAATTATATAATGATTGTAGAAAGAGGTAGATGTATGAACAACTATGAGCCTCAAGTACGTAAAGTATGTTGGGAGGTCCGTTCTTGTAAGAAGGGAACGGTAAGTGAAGATTCGTATGTAAATTATTTTTTAAAAATCCATATGTTAACTTATACGAATTATCTATAATTTTTGTGCATTAACATATGCATCTTCAAATAGATTTTCTCAAATTGTTTTCTATAGATTCTTATATGAATATTCATTCACCTTCTTACGATATTTAGTTTTCTTATTTATCGTCTCTTATAGAGAAGAGTTCAAATAAAAAAAATTCATTTTACAAGAACGTAAGAACGCCAATTTAATAATAATCAATCGCATGTACACCACTAGACCCTCTCGCGTGTATTATCACATATGATAAAAGGTATTCTTGATATAATATTATAATTCATCAAATATGATACTAAATCAGAGACACGTATAACCTTTGGCATGATCTAGGACACATGACACATCGTCCGCCCACCCCCATCTCCCTTCGCGTGTATTATCACATGAGATAAGGGTGTTCTCACGTTTTTATAAAATAAATATGTTCCCGTTCGAACTTTCACTTATACATACATACATAAATGCATGCATGCATAATTGAATACGTATATGAAGCTTCAAAAGAGTATTTTGAACTACTTTCTTTCTTGTATGTGTAGTATTCTAGAGATGTCGCTCTTTGGTCACAGAAAGGGGTTAACTCTAATTAAGATTTGTTTAATAACTTCATTAATACTCAATATGAATTGACCCACAAACAAAGTGTGTATATATATATATATATATATATATATTCCACCGATTTCAAACTCTTCTCCGACAGTTTTGGCTTTTTCCAACAAGGTAGTATGTCGGAAATTAATGCTTGATTTTTTGGTATAAAAATGGAATCCAAATTGTACATATATATGTACATATACATACATATAACTCGAATCTTAAAGATTAAAACTTGCATAAAATAACCAGTTGATTAATTAGCACATAATTGTCTTAGTAGCAAATCTTAACAAGTATCATAAAGGGTGTCTAATTAACAACTTAAACACACACACACAAACCACGATCAAACCCTCATCTCAAACTAAATAACTCTTCCCAAAATTGAATTTAAAAAAAAAAATTGTAAAAAAGAAGCACGATTGTTTGTGTTTTTTTGGTTCTGGAATTAATTGATTATATATATTATATATATAATGGTTCAGACCACACGACAGTACCTAAGAATGGTGGCCGGCGTCGGAACTTGTTTGATCATGTTGATGATGAGGATCATGATCTCCGCCGCAGTGATTCACCGGATTCAACCCATTTAAGAGATGATCGGAAGTACTCACACCGAAAATCGGCCGGAAAGGGGCTAATGCCGCCAGCATCCCTAGCTGTCCTTCCATTGCAGCCACCGTACCGCCACCGTACTGTTGGCCGGGCAAAAGAGCCATTGGTGTACCAAAATTCATAAAATGTAACCCACCACCACCACTAGAATTATTCCCCAAACTTCCTCTATACACATTATTATCATCGTTACTGTTATGGTTACTGCCAGACGGAAAATTCCACGTAGGATCGCCGGAAATTACGTGACTTGTGGCGGTAGTCGTACTGCTATTAGGGTTTCCCATCATCAAAAACGACGTCGGCTGCGGCGCGTGTGTTTGAGTGTTACTCGCTGGGATCGACCCTGAACTCGATTGCATCATGTAACTAGAAGCAATACCCGTCGGAATACTCCGTAGATCTAAACACGACGAGTCTTGTTTTCCGGCCGAGGTTGAAAAACTCACATATTGCGACGCCGTCGGTCGACTGGTGACGAAGCTGAACCCATTTCTAAGGTACGACGTATGACCGGCGGACATAGTGGATCCCGAACTCCGAAGTGAGATGTTCAGAGAAGTAAAGTTCGCCGGAATTGTCCCAGTTCCGGTAGCAGCTATCACAGCAGGCTCCGCCTGCTGTAACAACCACTCGATCGTCTCGCCATCTGACTTGTGTCCGAGCTCACGTGTCAGCTGGAAAACCCTGGCTGCACAAGTGGCCGGCATGCGGATCCGGCGACCTCGGCCGTCGACTTTTGTGTGTCGGTCCTTTGTAGATGCTCTCTTGGGTGGCGATGGTTTTGGTTTAGCAGCAGTTTGGAGGTCCGTTGGCGGCGCCACCGTATCGTTGGCATCACCACCACTGGATCTTTTTTCAAGAAGCTGTAATGGGAAGTTCAACCGGCGGAATTCAGTTTGATTTTGAGCATCCATGGCGATCGACTATATATATATATATGGATTGATGGGGTTGTTTTCTGGGCCTCAAGATACGAATTCAGTGATATCACTTGTGGGTCTTTGATGGTTCTTGGATCAGTTTCTCTCTCTACGTTCCACTTTTCTCGCTCTAGAAAAAACTAGATCTTTGAATTCCCGAGGAATGGGGATGTGGGTTTTCTTGATTTTCTCTCTCTAGGTTGGAATGGGGGATGAGAGAGAGAGAGAGAGATTGTTGTCAAGAAGCTTTAAGCAACAAACATAATGAGTGGGAATTATAGGATGTGGGCTATCCTCTTTGATGCTCTCTATCTTTAACCTAATATCTGTTTTCTTATTTTTCTCTAAACAGCTTTTAAGGATTTAAATCCAATCATTGTGTTTTTAAGGTAAGATTATAGCCTTTAACATAAAACATCAAAAATAGAAAGAAAAAACAGGCTTATGTTCCGTTATCTTTGTCTTTATAAATAACGGTTTGTCTCTTAGTTTATCCTTAAGTAAATGTATTAGACATGTTTTTAATTTACTGTTATATTTTTAATATCTGATAGAGAAAATATATCTTTATTATGAAGGGGGAGCAAAAACTCGTGAAAAAAGAAAAAGAAACATCTTTACACTCTCGATTCTTATAGAATATGTTGTCATACGTACATACTCATATTCAATGACTTCTTTCCATCTCCATGTAACTACTTTTCGCGTTTCGTGCTTAGCTTCGGGTCTGCCGTTTTTCATTTGATTGATGATGTTTTGGTTCCGTTAGTATTTAGTCTCTTTTGTTGCAGGTGGTTGTTTCGAGCTTGTTTTTTAGTGTTTGACTGTAGTTTTTTGACCCCTTCCTTACTGCATCTTGCAGTTTTATTGTTGATGGAGTGTTTACTTTTTTTCTCTTTAGAAAGAGAACTCATATTTAAATTGATACAAGTATTGTTAGTTATCTCTCTGAGTCTTAAACATAGTCTTTATAGAATGATGTATTAGATGCAGACTTGAGATCATGTAAGACAATATTGTTTTCGTGCATGAGACACGATTTTTACATTTGAAACTTCATTTGCTGTAAAGATTCGGCTTTTTTTTACCTTCACAACATTTTGTTGTGACGTTTCAAATATAAAAATCATGTCTCATGAAAATAATCTTGTGTCACATGAACTAACGCTTAGATGCATGAGACATGATGTGTAACATAGAAAAGGTTATGAGGGAATATATATACACATATATGTATGTATATATATATATATAATTGAAATGAATTATGGAAATGATACATATTTGGAGAGGGATGGCACGTGCGATGCATGAATATGAAGAGAACTCCTGGAGGCAGGGGTGGAGCCTACAGACTGCAGGGAGAAGGTCGAGAAAACTGATGAAACAGACTCACTAGTCACTACTCACTACTACTCTCTACATGGTTAAAAAAATAAAATATTTAAAATAAAATAAAATATTAAAATAAAAAAAGAGATTCCCGCAATCATTGCCTTTGCCTTTCTTTCCTTTTCTACGTTCAAAAATTCTTAATGCTACATACCTACCGTCCATTCGTTCCTTCCCTTGATTCACTCATTCATATAAATCTATACATACCTACATATAACTCACACTTGGATCACGTTATACCAATTTGTTTTTATAAGATCATTTTTTTATATTTGAAATTTTACAACAAAATGCTATGAAAGTAACCTTTACAGTGTTTTTGTTGTGAACTTTTACAACTTTTTACTATAAAGTTTCAAGTGTAAAAACATGGTGTATGGATCTTACGAAAACAGGTTGGACTCGCGTGAAACCAACCTTATAACTCTATCTATACATATATAGTCTAAAATTCTTAATACCATTTAATTGTTGTCCGATCTGTGAGAATATATGAAATCTTATTAGATTTTTTTTTTAAAGTCATTGAGAAAAAGAAAAAAAAAGGTTTAAAAATATGTATAGTAAAAAGTATCCAAGGAACTGTTTACCAAACGCTTACCCAACTAAGTGCTTACCGGTTAAATTCAACACTATCACTTATTTACTATGTAAGACTCTAATCCATCAAAACGGTATCGTAAGCAACAATTTACCCAATAAGCATTAACCATGGTAAGAGTCGTTATCACTTATCGAGTAATACTCTTGGTTCTCATTCGTTCTTACCGGATAATAATATTATTGGTTATTGTCATATTTATTTGGTAAGTAAATGTGTCTTGGTAAGAGCTTACCCGCAATAAAGTAAATTAAATCTTGTATTGGAGTATTATATTAACTACACTTAAGAGTTGTTTACCAAACACGTGCCAATGGAGTCTTATATTAACTACACCTAAGGGTTGTTTATCAAACGCTTACCCGGATATTTGGTAAACGACCCTTAAGTGTAGTTAATATTAAGACTCAAATACAAGATTAATTTATATATATAAATATATAAGTCGTAAGCGTTTGATAAACGACCCTTAATATAAAAGTTTAATAAAATATTTAATTTATGCATATTCTAGAAAAAGGTAAATAGGAGTAATTAAAGAAAGAAAGAGGAGGACAGTAAAATGTAACTTTTGAACATGTTGAATCCTAGGAGATAGATATATGCTGTCACTTCATTTTAACTACTCCCACCAAAATACACCCGCTGCCCCACCACCTAACTTTCTTCTTTTATATATATATATATATATATATATATATATATATATATATATATATATATATATATTATAAGTTAATAATCTAATT